ATGTGGCCAGGAGGGACTAGTCTTTGGAGAAGGACATCATACTTGGGAAGTTGGAGGGACAGCACAAGAAAGGAAGACCCCAGATGAGATGGATTGATGCAGTAACTGGGGTAATGGGCAGTGAGATTGGCTCAAGATAAGACAGGGTTCAGAGCCATTATACATAGGATCACTATGAGTTGGAGGCAACTCAATGGCACATAACAACCTGTTGGTTGTTGTTACAACCTGAATGTGCTTATATCATAATCAAGTTGGGTTTACCCGAGGAATGTGGGAGTAATTCCATCAGTATCAGGTGTCACATTAAACCACCTTTCATCATCTCATTTGATACAGAAGAGGCATTTGGCAATCTCCAGCACCCTTTGGCTAAACAAGTCAGGAATAGAAGTGACATTTCTCAGCCTAATTAAGGGTATTAATGAAAACCCCACAACTTACGTCATACTCAGTGGAGGAAGACAGAAAGCTTTCCCTTTAAGGTCAGGAGCAAGACAAAGATGCCCACTCTCACCACTGCCATTCAGTATTGTACTGAAGTTGTAGCCAGAGGAGTTGGGCAAAGAAAAGGTATTCATTGGGAAGGGAAAGTAAACATATCCCTTTTCACAAATGACCTTCTGTACACAGAAAAGCCCACAGAATCCATAAGAAAGCAACTAGAGGTGGTAGATGAATTCAGCATTACTAGTGGCAGGAGTGACATCCACTTCCTAAATAACATGCCTCTGGAAACAATGAACTTTGATAAATGTCAATAGAGAAAGTCTTCTGGTGTTTTATTCAAAGAGTCGCTTAGAGCCATGCTTGACTCGACGGCTCTCAGCAACAGTAGCAAGAACACAAAGGTCAGTCAGATTCCATACATCAGTGAAGATATTCTGGAAAAGAAACTAATAAGTCCCATTAGAATAACTTCTAAAAGAATATAATGCCTAGAAATAAATTTAGCCAAGGAAGTGAAAGACGTAACACTATAGATTGTAAGCCATTAGTGGAAGAACTTAATGACCTGAATAAATAGAAGGGCCTTCTGTGTGTGTGGATTGGTGGTGGTGGTAAGTGCTGTCCAGTGAACAATGGGTGTGAACCCTGCCCTATGCTGTGCCTTCCTCATCATCTTTGACACACTTGAGCCCGTTATTACAGTCGCTCTGTCAGTCCATCTCATTGAGGGTCTTTCCCTTTTTCACGGACCACCCACTTTTCCAAGCATAGTGAATATCTTCCTTTCCCAAGGACTAGCCCTTTTGAATGACATGACCAGAGTCTGTGAGACCAAGTTTCATTATCCTTGCCTCCAAGGAGCACCGTGGCTGCACCTTTTCCAAGGCATACTTGTTTGTCCTTTTTGGTAGTCCTTGGCGATATTCAACACTCTTCTCCATCTCACCTCAAAGACATCACTGCTTCTGTCATCTTTCTTCACTGTCCAACTTCAGCTGCAAAGCAAATCATTGAAAAGATTATGGTTTGGATCAGACAAATGTGCAAGGAGTTCGAGTCAGAAAATCAAAAGGGCCGAACTCGCTCAGCATATCTTAAGCTCAAGGAACTGAAGAACAAATTCAAACCTCGAGTTGCTATAATCAAGGATACTTTCAGCAGAATGTTAAATGATCCAGGAAATATTAAAAGAAGATGGAAAGAATATACTGAGTCACTGTATCGAAAGGAATTGGAAGACACAGAAGAATTTCATGAAACAACATATGAGCAAGAGCCTATGGTGATGAAAGAAGAAGTTCAGGCTGCTTTGAAGGAAATGGCAAAAAATAAGGCTCCAGGAATAGATGGTATCCCAATTGACATATTTCAGTTAACAGATGCTGCCCTGGACGTGCTCACCAAGTTGTGCCAAGAAATCTGGAGAACAACCACTTGGCCAACTGATTGGAAGAGATCGATATTTGTTCCTATCCCAAAGAAAGGTGACCCAATAGAATGTGGAAACTACAGAACAATCTCACTGATTTCACATGCAAGCAAAATTTTACTGAAGATTATCCAAAAATGACTGGAACAGCACATCAACAGAGAGCCACCAGAAGTCCAGGCTGGGTTTAGAAGGGGTCGTGGTACTAGGGATATTGTAGCTGATGTTAGATGGATCTTGGCTGAAAGCAGGGAACACCAGAGGAATGTCTATCTGTGTTTCATTGACTATGCAAAGGCATTTCACTGTGTAGATCATAACAAACTGTGGCTCACTCTGAGAAGAATGGGAATCCCACAACACTTGATCGTTCTAATGTAAAACTTATACTTGGACCAGGAGGCAGTCATCAGAACAGAGCAAGGGAACACTGCATGGTTCAAAACTGGGAAGGGCGTACGCCAGGGATGCATCCTATCTCCATACCTTTTCAACCTATATGCAGAACAGATTATCCGGGAGGCTGGGCTCTATGAGGAGAAATGTGGGGTCAAGATTGGTGGACGATTTATCAACAATCTGCGTTATGCTGATGACACAACCCTGCTTGCTGAAACTGAAGAGGACCTGAAGCACCTGCTGCAGAGTGTCAAGGACTGCAGCCTACAATATGGATTGAGGCTCAATGTCAAGAAGACAAAGATTCTCACCACTGGACCAATTGGCAGCATCAGGATGGATGGTGAAGAGATTGAGATTGTACACAGCTTTAGTTTGCTTGGCTCCATAGTCAACAGTCTTGGCACCAGCAGCCAGGAAATTAAAAGGCGCATTGCCATGGGAAAGTCTGCTGTTAGGGACCTCTCCAAAGTGCTGAAGAGCAATGGTGTCTCTCTGGAGACTAAGGTGCGTCTGATACAGGCCCTGGTCTTCGCAATCACTTGTTATGCATCAGAGAATTGGACAATGACCAAGAAGGATAGAAGGAGAATTGATGCCTTTGAGCTGTGGTGCTGGAGAAGAGTATTGAGAATACCATGGACTGCTAGGAAAACAAACAGATTTGTCCTGGAAAGGGTTAAACCGGGTGGCTTCTTGGAGGTAAGGATTCTGAGGCTCCGTCTAACATACTTTGCACATGTTGTGAGGAGAGACCGGTCCTTGGAGAGGGACATCATGCTTGGGAGTGTGGAGGGACAGCGCAGGAGAGGAAGGCCCTCTATGAGGTGGATTGATTCAGTGACTGGGATAATTGGGATGGGAGTGTCAGAGACAGTGCGATTGGCACAGGACAGAGCGGAGTTTAGGGTTGTTGTACATAGGGTCGCTATGAGTCGCAAGTGACTCGACGGCACATAACAGCAACAACAACAACACAACTTAACCTTTATAGGTTCAAGTTTATAGATTTGAAGACTCAGTGCTATTAAGATGTCAGTACTACTCAAAGCTGTCCATCAGTTAACACAATCCCTATCAAAATCTCTTTATCCCTCTTTGCAGAAATGAAAGAGAATCTTATCTATATGGGGGGACAAGGGACCTCAGCTAAGGCAATCTTTTTAAAAAAGAGAAAACAATTCACACTTCCCAATCTCAAAAAGTAGTATAACCACATACTATAAGTAATCAGAATGGTTTGATATTTGTATAATGATAGTAATACAGATGGATGGAATAGAATTGAGAGTCTAGGAAGAACCCATACAGTTATGGTCAGTTGATTTTTGACAAGATTGTGATGTGTGTTAACTGGAGAAAGAAATATTTTTTTAACTGGTGCTGACTTCCCCATCCAAAAGAGTGAAGCTGGGTCCAAACCTCATATCTGTATGAAAATGTCTAACCAAGTCAATGACGTAAATGTGTGACCTAAAACTGTTAAGATTCCTAAAAGTAAACAGATAATGCATTGGGAGGTAGTTTTTAAGAATGGGATTCTTAGCTGTGACATCCAAATCAAGAGCACGAAAAGAGAAGTCGCTTGAACTTTACAAAAATAAAACAGTTTTGTTCAACCAAAGACTTTAAAAGCAAAGAGCAAACAGCGTACACTTTGAGAGACACATATACTAGATAAGCATTTAGTATTCATATCCCAGGTGTGTGCTACATAGAGCCCATTGAGCTGTTGCCACACAGTAATAGAACAAAGACTCACATAATAAATGTTGATGGGGTTGTAGAGAAATTGAATCGCTCATATAATGTAAATAGCATAACTATCCTGGGAAACTTTAGTTCCTCAAAAATGCTATTTGGAGAGTTATCATATGACCCAGATATCATTCCTAGGTGTATACCCCAAAGAAATGAGAACATGTGTCCACACAAAAGTTGGGCGTTAATGGTCAGAATCGCATAATCACCAACAACTACAAACAGTTAAAATGTCCATCGGCTGGTTGATGCCTGGGACAAAATGTGTGATATATCTCTATCTCTATCTCTATCTCTATCTCTATCTCTATCTCTATCTCTATCTCTATCTCTATCTATCTCTATCTCTATCTATCTCTATCTTTCTCTATCTGTCTCTATCTCTATATATGTAAAATGGAATGCTATTCAGCAGTCAAACAGAATGATCAGGTCTGTGGTACAACAGATGAACCTCAGGCACATACTGCTAAATGAACACATAGTGTGATTCCATTTAGATGAAATGCCATGAAGAGAGAGATCTGTCCAGATGAAAGGCACATGGCCGTTTCCCTGGAACCTGGGGAGTGAAGTGGGAAGTGGCCACAGTGTCACAGGGCAGCGCTCGGCTGGGCTGCAGCATTGACCCCAGGGCTCTAAATCAGCTGGGCTGTGCACGAATAAGGAGTTCAGTGGTCCGCAAATAATGTATTAGGGAGCTCTGGTGGCCGAGTGGTACGAAACCAAGCTGGAGTCCTGAAGGCACGTGATTTGTATCCACCAGCTGCTCTGCGGGAGAAGGATGGGCAGTCTCCTCCCGTGGGATTAACTGCCTCTGAAAACCCTCTGGAGGATGTGACACAGTGGCAAACAACAAAAGCAATGAGCTGTTAAAAGTAAGCACTTGGGTTTACTCTGGATGAAAAGTTTGAAATGGTCGAAGATTAAGACTTTTCCTTCCCTTGTGTTGTCCTTCCAGGAGCTTATGGAGAAACATACCCCGCCATCGAAGATGACGCCCCACTTCCACCATCTCGGTTGCCCTCTGCGAGGGAGCGCAGAAGGAACAAATTGAAAGGACTGGATGTGGTCAGTAGGAGTTACCTTTTGGTTTGCTCCCTTTTATCTTATAAAGAGAATGAGACCTGGGTCCAAACCCTTGGTAAATTGGTGTCGTCTATTATAACAACAAAAAGCCTCCTCAGTTTCTTTGAAGTGAGATGGCCTTGGGTCTGAGTTTGTCCCTGGGTGGTGTGATGACCGACCTTGGCCATCATTAAACACGTCTCCTGTGGTGGCTGTAAGTATACACAACCCGATACCTCACACAGAGTCTCTGCTCTGTGATTGTTCATCTGTCACCCTTTCCTTTGCTGGCCCCTCCGCAGAGTTATGTGGATTTTAAAGAAGGAATAAAAAAACCCCACTGAGGCCTTTTGCTGGAGAGACTGTCATATCCTTAGATTATAGGTGTCTTCTCCATTTTGGTTGGATAAATTTCAAAGGTCATACAGTTAAGAATGCTGATAATCACACCTGTGTTCTTTCTGGTATGTGCCACAGCTTTATAACGGAGCCACAAATGAGTGTATTCTGTGGAGCCCGCTGAGGTTACTTTATAATTGAGTAGTGAATGAATGGTGGGCAGTTTCTTAAACTCTGTTTACTTCTGTGTGACCTTCAAATACAGTTAAAAGATCTTTGCAAAACACTGAGCCAAGTATGCAGGAATCTCTCAGCGATGCCTGGTGCTGCTGCTAATGGTAAAAATCTATTCATTTTCACCAGCCAGCAGTAACTTGGATATACTAGCTTGTTAAAGGGTAGATGACCTCAGTGTAACCTTCATAGTGGCCCAGTAACAGGTCAGTAATGATCGACTCAGTGGATTAACTTGTACAACTTTTGATTCCATAAGAGAAAAATGTAAAGATTGGTAAAAGATAGGGGTGATAAAACCACTAGCTCTGTGATGGCTCCAGAGGATCCTGGAGAAGTTTTTTCCCTAAGGTCCAGATTGTTCTTGTTGTGTACTATCCAGTTTGGAGCTGACCATTAGCAGACCCTCCAGCGGGTTTTCAGGGACAGTAAATCACCCAGGATTGCTCATCTTTTTCCCACAGAGAAGTTGATATATTTGAACTATGTTCCTTTGAGCTGCCAGCACGACTCCTTACCACTAAGCCACCAGACTTCCCCCATCACCAGAGTCCCCATGGTCTATTTGTTGTTGTTGTTACGTACCCCTGAGTCAGAACCAACCCCCAGCTGACCCTCCAGCGGATTTTGGGGGGTGGTAAATCACAAAGGAGATTGTCCATCTCCCTTCCACAGGGCATCTGGTGAATCAGAGTGCAGACCTTTGCATTGGCAGCACCACAGTCTCTCCTAATTTCGAGTGTAGCTAACATTGCACTCCTGTAATTCTTACAGTGAGTTAGAGTTTAAATTTGAGGCTTCAAGTAAATTTCAACAATTACATTAAAAAATTAACTGGCCAACTGAAAGAGCCTCACAGCTGGAAAAATTTGAGCAGCAAAATCTAGTAATATTGGATTTTAATACAAAGAATAAAAGAGTTATAAGTTCATATCGATGTAAACACGTGATTAAATAATAAATAGGGGAGAATAGGCAAGTTCTCCTGTGTAAACTAACTTGCAAATAGTTGTGTAGATTCTCACCCCTCACAGCTGAGTGTAACTCCCTGTCCATAACTGTAGACTACACGCAGTGACTTCCTTCCAGAGTGTGCAGCATAGACAGGGGATGAGAGTAAGTGCACAGTCGGGAGATCTCACACACTTACACAGAAAGTCAGCTGGAGGTATCAAGAGAGGGAGCTGAATGTGTTAAGGCAATTTAGAAGAGAAACAAGGCCTCTGCTTTATCCATAAATGGTATACCTACCCCCTCATTAATTTAGATTCTGGACCTGCTGCCACCCTCTGTCTCATGTTTTAGAAAAGAAAGTGCTCTCTGAATCGCCTGGAGGGAACCTTAGCTAAAGTTTCTGGGTATTCCCATCTAGAGGATGACAGGATGATCTTATTTTGAGATGGTTTTTGGCAATCTATATATAGTTTAAAGTTTATACAAATATTAAACTGGTTTCTTTCTGTAGACTAGCCTAGAAGGAAATGACCTTATTTTTAAAAAGTCCTATCTAGGGCGCTCTGGTGGCTTAGTGGTAAGGAGTTGTGCTGCAAACCCAAAGGCTTGTGGTTCAAATCCACCAACTGCTCCATAGGAGAACAGTGGGCAGTCTCTCCTTCCATGTAGTTTATGGCCTCTACACACTTGCTAGAGGGTCGGCTGTGAGTCAGTTCTGACTCAGCAGTAGATACTCAACAGACTCTAGGCCAGGGCTGCTTCATACACCCCTCCTTCTACTGTTCTCCCCTGCCTATTAAGGAATAGTTTATTTCCTCCTTGAAGTTCTTTTCTTCCCCTCACATCTCCAAACTAACATATACATGTATACAGTGAGCTCTGGTGGCTCAGTGGTAAGGAGCTGCTCTGCCATTCGAAAGGCACATGGTTCAAATCCACCAGCTGCTCCAGGGGAGAAAGACGGGCAGTATTCTCTTGCATGATACAGCCTCTGAACAGCTACTAGAGGGTCAGCTATGACTCGGTCCTGACTCAAAGGTACACAGCAACAGCGTATGCTGCCCTGCATCGCTTTCTTCTGCTGCTGTCTTGCATCTTGGAATCTCTCAGAATTGAGGAACCATACACTTCATTTCTCCTTTAGGGCAAACTAGAGATTGTGTGGACTGAGATATATATATTAATATAATAATAATAATAATAATATATATTATCTATTTTTAACAATGATCCATTGCATTTTATTATTTTACCACAAGAAGAAACAGCAACTGTTTGATTTTCTTCACACCGACCAATAATTGAGCATTTTAAAGTTTGAGATCTATTCCATAATGAACTGAATAAAAAACCTATTTGAAAAAATACCTATTGCTATTAAAAAAAGGTTTTGTGAGATGGTACCTCATTGTGGTTTTGATTTGCATCTCTGTTATTGCCAGTGATTTGGAATATTTCTTCATGTGTCTGTTTGCCATTCAAATATCTTCCTCTGTGAAAATTCTTTACATGTCTTTTGCCCATTTTGTAATTGGGTTATCACTCTTTTTCTTGTGGAGACCCAGGAGTATTCTGCAAAGTTTTGTTATAAGACTCTTGTCTGAAATGGTATTACCAAATGTTTGTTACCAGCCTGTAGGTTTTCTTTTCACCCTGTTGGAAAAAGTTCTTGATGCACATGGATTTAATCTTTAGAAGGTCCCATGCATCAATTTTATCCTTTTCAGATTGTGCATTTCTGGTTGTATTTGGCAGTGTCTTTATACCTTGGACTAGCACTTCTAAGCTTGATCCCAGTATGTCTCTTATGAACTTTATGGTTTTGGGCTATACTCCCAGGTCTCTGATCCACCTTGAGTTGATTTTTGTGTATGGTGTGAGATGTGGATCCTGTTTCAGCTTTCTGCAGGTGGAAGTCCAGTTTTGCCAGCACCACTTGTTGAAGAGGTTAGTCCCCATTTGATAGCTTTGATTTCCTTGTCAAATATCAGTTGATATCATAGCAGCATTATTCACCATCATAAGAACATGGAAACAGCTCAAATGTCCAACCACAAACTAATGGATTGAGAAATTATGGTACAGTCACACAATGGAATAATATGCAACATGCAGGAGCAATGAGTTTGTAAATTATTATCTAACTTGGGAGGGACTGGAGAGCATTATGCTCAGTGAACTAACTCAGTCCCACAAGGATAAATACTGTATAAAACCATTATTGTAGAACGAGTATAAGGACCCAAGAGGGGTGGGGGATGGGGGAAGCAGAGGGATTAGGATGTGCAGGGGGAGGGGGAGATGAATCATGAGGTTGTACAATTTGATGGGCGGGGTGTGGGAAATGAAAAGAATCTGTTTTCTAAAACAATGTATTTGAATTTTGTAAATAAACTAGTGTAACATTTAAAAAAAATTCAGGTTGTTTGCACATAAAACACCAATTGATAGGTTTCTTTTGTCTTTGAGTTCATGTTGCAGGAAAAAGTTTAACCAATCTGGACTTATTTGTGGTGATATTCTGATGTTCTCTGCCTCCCCCACTCTCCAACAAATAAAAGAATTCCTTGCTGTTAAAAAAAGAAAAGTTTAACCAAGTTTTCTTGCTAATTTGTCTATAGGTGCAAATATTATAGGCAATTTCATACTTTGTCTTGTGAAAAGGTAACCCTTTTTCGACACAATTGGAATACAACAGTGACTCTGAAGCAACATCCTACCCTTAATACTGCTAGTTTTGAGCCATCAACATGAAAATCCTCAATAAGGCTGAGAAGGTATTGTTACTGTTGCTTTAAGTGCCTTCGAGTCTCTTGCGACTCACAGTGACTCTTAGGTACAACAGCTCTGAACTGTCCTCTATCGCTGGCCAACCTTATTATCTCTGACACACATACCCCTATTTCCCATCACTGAGTCAGTCCATCTCACCCAGGGTCATCTTCTCCTGCACTACCCTCCACCCTCATGACGTCCCTCTCCAAGGACTGGACCCTCCTTGCAACATGTCCAAAGTATGTCCATTGGAGCTTCAGAATCTTTGCCTCCAAGGCCTGGTTCAACCCTCTCCACAACAAACCTGTTTGTTCTCCTAGCCGTCCATGTTATATTTAATACTCTTCTCCAGCACCACAGTTCAAAGGCATCAATTTTCTTTTAACCATCCCTAGTCATGGTCCAGCTTCCTGATGCATAGCAAGTAATTGCAAAGACCATAGCCTGAATCAGGTGCACTTTAGTCCCTAGACCAGGAGTTAGGGAATTGATTTGCCTTCGTTACACAACACTATTTTGCTTGAGTTGGGGTTTTCCCCCCCTTTTCTTTTAAAGCACCATTGATTGATTTTTGAAAACCCATGTCTTTTTTCCCTTGTATTCAAAGTGTTCTGTATAATGACACTGACACCTTGAGATTTTCACTCTCTGTCTTTTCACCTTGCAGGATGCTTCCATAGGCTTTTTTTGCTGTAAATTTGTTAAAAGCATTTCTGTCATAGATTCATATGCAGATGCTCTGGCCGTTTGGCGCTCATGGGAAAGCTCGTTTTTTAGTACGGCCTGGAGTGGCTGTCGTGTTGGAAGTGGCACTGATGCTTCCCCACTCCTCGTCACATCCACCCGTTCTATTCCACTTGTTTCCATTGGATAGCCCACTGGTGTCTGAGGATTTGCTGTGCTGGCTGAAGCACCTCCTCCCCAGAAATCCCCAGGAGAAAATCTGACAGGGCTGACAGGTGTTCATGGGCTGCCAGTGAGTCTTTGAGGTGATTGTTTTGGTTCAAAGGAAAACTTTTCTTTCACACTTTCAAGTACATTATCTGACATGTAAACTTTAAATCAAACTGACTCACTTCTTCATTGGATTGGAACAGAGGTTTAAAAAGGGACTCTACCTTCCGAGCCAGAAGTTCTTCCCAGTTAATAATAGGGCGAAAGAATGGATGCGCCTGAACTCACGCTTCCTCAGGGCCAGCTCTAAAACGAGAAGCAGTTTCTTTTCAGCTCTTTAAGCAGATCTCTGGCTTTTTGTGTGAGGTAGGGAGGCAAATTGAGTTCACACTTGATGATTTTGTCAGGTGGTTTTTTCTTTTCTCCCCAGTGAACAGCGCTATCATACATTAATGAATGTGTGACGGCATTAATGCTCCTAAACTCCACCAGTCCACAGCATGATTGTGACCACTTCTCGTCACGATTGCAGGGGGGGGTGTGCCTTCCACATGAGTAGATTGTTTGCACATGGCCTAGCTGAGTAAGCTTGGTGTTCTCTGGCTTTAAGTCTCTGCAGATGATCCCCTTTTGATAGAAATGCCCCAAAGCCATGGAGATTTCTACCAAGAAAAAGCAAGCTGTGTCTTCCATAAATATTCCCTAACTGCGTAAATAATTCTCCTCCGCTGAGATACTCCGCTGAGGTAGAGCTTACTACTGCTCTGAAAAGTATAAATTCACTATGAAGTTTTACTATACCTCATCCTTGAGTATCTCACTGGAGAATTTGCTCCTGTTACTTTTGGTCCTTGAAAAACCTATCCATAGCTCTCTTTACTAAGTACCTAAAGTAGCCCAAAACATTCTGGTTTGGTTTTTTCTGGCCCTTTCTTCACACTAGTTTCAGAGATTTCCAGTTTTTCAGTGATCCGTGTCTGCTTCCTATGGTCTAACCCGCCATGATTCATGCTTTCACCCGCCGCCTCCAGCTTGTCCTCAGAGCGTGCATCCTCTGGCTGGTCCAGATCTGTGTCGGACGCTCCTGTCTTGTCCTCAGCTTCCAGTCCTGTGACGAGTAAAAGCGTCCTGCCTCCGTGGTTGCCTCATGGGCCTGGACCTGCCACAGCCACGGCAGCCGCCACCATCACCAGCGGCTTGGGATAGTGTGACTGTCTGGGCTGATAGCTTAATCTTTCAGGTTTCATCTTTGCTGTATTGCCGTCATAATTAGGAATATCTTTTTCTCCACTTTTTATATTGATTTTTATAACAAGGTATATTGTTATTTTTTGTGATTTTAATGAAACTTTACAGAAAGATTGGGTTTTCATTCATTCACTGTTGCATACTTACCTCCCTTATCCTCCATTACTCCTTCCCCAGTTCACTTTGTAATATACTTCTGGTTCCAGATTGTGAATTTTCATGCATATAATGACCTATCATACATTTCTTTCAGTCCTTCCTGTTCCAGTGCAGTGTTCATTATCTGCGCCGTTCCTGTTCTCCTCCTCCCACCGCATTCCGTCCGCGCCCCTGCCCATGTCCTGTTTAATAACAGTGGTCTTAAGCAGCATTTGTCCTTTCGTGACTGAGATAACTTCATTCAGTATAATGTCTTCCACACTCACCCAAGTTGTATTGTGTTTTACAAGTTGTTTTTCAATGCTGCTTAATCCATTGTGTGGTTGTACCAGTTTTTCTCCCCATCTGTTTGATAATCAGTTAGGTTGCTTCCATCTCTTCACTGTTGTGAATAATGCAGCAATAATGTGCACCTGATACAGGTCATGGTCTTTGCAGTTACTTGCTATGCATCAGAGAGCTGGTTAATGACCAAAGATGACAGCAGAGGAATTGATGCCTATTAGTAAGGTGCTGGAGAAGAGTATTGAACATACCATGAACTGCCAAAACTAACTGATCGGTCCTGGAGAGAGTGAAACTCAGCTGCTCCTTGGAGGCAAGGATTTTTGACGTTTCGTCTCACATACTGGTCCCCAGGAAGGACCAGTCTTTGGAGAAGGATATCATGCTTGGAAGGGTAGAGGGACACTGCAGAAGAGGAAGACGCTGGATGAGATGGATTTGACACAGAAACTGGGGTCATGAGGATAAGTGTGTTGGAGACAGATTGGCTCAGGGAAGAGCAGCATTCAGAGCTACTGGTCACTATGAGTCAACAGCACATTACAGCAACAAAAATGTAAGGGTTTTTCCCTGGATCATGTGATAATCTATGGCATTTTGAGGAACTGCCACTGCTTTCTGAAGCAGGTGCCAGTCACTTCACTGTTCCCACCAGGACCTACAAAGATCTGAGTTCTGTGTGTTCTCAGCACTTGTCACCTGTCCTTTCATTCTGGGCCCCCCTGCTGGTTCTTTGTGATTTTGATTTCTCTTTCTCAGAAGAGTAATGATATTGGATATCTTTTCATGTGCTGTGCTAATTTTCTAACTGGGTTTGCCTTTTTACTGCTTTTAGCTGTCAGTTCTTTATATTTTCTGGATACAAGGCCCTTGTATGGTCTGCAGACACTTTTCTCCTAGTCCATGAGTTGCCTTTCAACCTTCTTGAAGGTGTCCTCATTTTCAGAAGACCAACTTGTTGATCTTCTCTTTTCTCACTTGTGCTTTTTTGTCCTAAGAAACTATTGCAAAAATCATAAAACTAGGGGAGCTCTGGTGGCCTAGTGGTAAGGAGCTGCAACTACAGTCCTAGTGGTGCACGGTTTGAATCCACCAGATGCTCTGCTGGGGAAGGAGGGACAATCTCCTCCTGTACCAGTCTTATCTGATTTGACGGTACACTCACACAAAAAAATAAAATAAAAATTAAAAAAAAAGAAATTAAAAATAAAAAAATCATAAAACTATACTCTTGGGTTTTCTTTCAAGAGCACTAGCCCTGAAAGTTAGGTCTGTAACCCACTTTTAGCGTTTGTGTGTAACATAAGAGGATCCACACTATTTTCGCGTGCAGTTTTAACACCTTGCTCCTGCCAGGAGACTTTGTTGGCTCTCTTGTACACAGTGTAAGGGTTTTTGTCTCACGTCTCAATTGTCCCATTAAACTCAAGATGATACTGTATTTGGGTTGACTGCCCTTTTTTCAGTGTTTTTCCTTTTGCATCTTAGTATCATTATTCCCTAAACTTGTAAAAATGGCAGCTTTTCTGTGTCATCACAGATCCTGTACCTTGTCTTTGACTAAATAAAGGCCATCTAGAGAGCCGACTGGGGTAATAAATATCAGGAGTCAGAATTTAAGGTTACATATTGACATCCTTTATTTTATTCATCACATTGTATTTATCGGGGACAAGAACATGTTTTGAATCAGTGGTTCATTCTGAACATATTTTATGTTAATGAATGATTCCTTATTGCAGGATACTGCTCGCCCTAATGTACCACCAGATGGTCTCTCTTTAAACTCTGTATCCAGTGTGAACATTGACGAGCTTAGAGCAAGAAATGAGGACCGAATGCGAAGACTGAATGAACTCCAGAGTAAACCTGTTAATCCAGGTAACTGAGCATAGTTAGATGAACTCTGAGCTGTGGCTGAACACAGTGGGTCCCCACACAAGGACAAACCTTAGTTTTGATTTTTGTGTCAGGTTCTTTCTACTAGAGAGGAGTACCCACGTTTTTGGGTAGAGTTTAACAGAACAGATATATACAGGTTTTACTTATGAAATATAGCTAATTATGCTTGCTTTCAGCAGGGGAAGGAAGGGCTGATTAGTGTGGCAAAATAATACGTGAGAGATGTGAGAGGTTAGGAGGGAATAACTAATACTTTTGAGCTCTTTAAATGAGTGTTAATTTACAGTATTCGAGAGCAAGCTCTTTCTCCCTTTGACTTGGCTGTCTGTACCACTGGCCTGGGACCGTAACCTTGGGGTAATACTCTCTTCTCGTAGGGGTGAGTCTTCTCATTGGATGAAGGCTTCTTTGCTCCCATCCAGCAGTGTCTGGGTTAGTGAGCCCCTCAGTCAGCCCCAGGAGCTCTGGCGTCACTTGCGTTTTATGTTGAGTCCTCCATCAGCTCCACAGGAAAGAGGGGAGTGTCTCCTCCCCCAAGGGCTTCCAGCTGGACTGACAGGGAATTGGAGGGGCCTCTCTGGCTGTGGGTATCCCTGCGCCACCTCTCAAGGAGCAGAGTCGGTTTTCTATCAATATGCTAAGTAGTAGAGTGGCCTTCATACTTCAGACTGAAGGGAGGTCTGGTGGCCCAGGCCGTAGGGGGTTTGTGCTGCTAACCCCAAGCCCAAGCCAGAGGGTTTGAATCCACCAAGGGAGAAAGATGGGTTCTGTCAACTTACAGCCTCACAGAGGAGCCAGTTCCAACTGGATGGCAACGAAGGTCTTTCCCCCCCAAAGTGTCTATTATTTAACTGTAGTACATTCGTTTTCTTAAGATCTGTAATACTGAGTTAATTTAACATTTGGTTCTTATAATCTCTAGTATCCAAAGTATTCTAGCAGACATGGTAAATGGAACCAAATACTTTTCATACCCTACAAAGAAAAGGCTGGAACAGAGGGAAAAGAACTTTCTTGCTGAAGGTCTTTTTTATACCCTTTGTCCACAGTTACTACCTTTCTTTTTACAGCCAGTAAGTTACTGTTTAAAAGAGAAACTCTTCTTGACAGAAACTTACTGCTTGAGGGAAGAAAGAGCATCTTAAGAATCTCCTTTTCAATTTCTAAGTTGTTTTTGACGTTGTCCTTTCAAACAGGAGCTTTTTGGTACCATGTGGATTGATTGCTCATTGATGGCACACGTCCCTGTGCTGGGCAACCTTCCTTCACAGACCAGGAGGTGTCATTTTTTAAAAAAGAAACTGACATCACAGGGTAGGAAGACAGATTTTGCTATTATTTTATCTAATAATAAATAAAATACAAGATAAATTAAGAACTACTTTCAGGATTAGAGAACGAACAAGCTATAACCATCTTAGGTTAGAGAGTAATAGGAATTTCACCCAAACCACTGTTTTCATAATTTTATATCAGTAATATGAGACTTCACCCCAGTTTTGTCACTTTTTAGAAAGTTTGGGGGTTTTTTTGATTGTTGTTTTGTTGTAGCCATTAAGTTTCCCTGCAGGGTAGCAGGAAGAATACTTACTGCAGTAGGTAACTTACTGCCTGGCAAACGCTCAGAGTTCCAGCCTTAGCCCCAGGGGGTGGGGTGCTGGCAGCATGGAGTCAAGATTACTCTGTTGATCACTTTTGTTTTTCCAGAGTTGGCCCCTTCCTGGGCCTACTTGTCCATCTAAAGTAAAGAGTTGAACAAAGTTCAGAAACCCAGTATCACAGGAGGTGCAGGGCCCTGATGGGCTGGACACACAAGCCTTGTGTTCTAGTGACCGGTCTGCACCTTCCGTGCTGTGACTTACGGCTTTTTTTAATCCTGTAGATGACGAGAGCTCATTGGTTGACCTTGATGACATCGTGAAGCCAGGGGGTGATGATGGGACAAGTTCTGTAGCCACTGAGCCCTGGCTCCGCCCCGGCACCTCAGAAACACTTAAGCGCTTCATGGCCGAGCAGCTGGATGAGGTGCGGCCACGGGCTCCTGGACACACTGTCCCCTGGCAGGGCCTGTCCACCGCACATGGCTAAAATAAACCCGTACTGGACTCGAGTGCCTTTTAAGGTGACAGGAATGTTAACTCTGAATCTTTACAATGAATGCTCCACTTTGGCCCCAACCTGAAGTTAGCTGCAACCCATCTGTATGTATATATTTTTTCCATAATGATGTATATAGTATGTGTATAAATAAAAGGCCATGATTATTGACTTAAGTAATGTAAAACTGTATAGGGTAATTTTTGCACAATTTTGCCATAAATTAAGGTGGTAATGAACTCTTGGAATCGACTACCATATGTGCATTATTTGAAATTCTGCTTGTCATTAAGCTCGGGTAAGTGTCTTACCAGTACTGTACGAGAATACTCTTACATGCACATTGACCATTTGTTATCACTACTCAAAAGAGCATAATTTAGTAAATACATCTGCTGTCGCTGTGCCTATTCCATTTGCTGTGTAATTAGAAAATCAAACCTGCTGGTTCTTTTGATGCCTTCACAGCTGCTAAGTCAGTGTACCCGGGTGGGAACCAGAACCGAGTTTATTCCCATGAATCCTGCACTAAATGTTACATCTTTCTGTGCCAATGAAGGCATTGTCTTAAGTTACTAATTTATATGATTTAACTGTTTCTTAAATAAATTTTTATTTTCACCAAGAATGTTGAGTTCTTATTTTAACTGGAATTGACATTTCCAGACTGTTAGTGAAGGTGAAGAGAAGAAGTAATTCCCAAGGTCAAACTGTGGCCACTTAGATAGGGTTGAACTTATGCATTCAAGCAGTGCCTTTCAAAGAGGAAACAGTCATTCAAATTCTGGAGAAGTCACGGCCCATCCCCAGAAGCAGCAGCCAGATACCACCAGTCACGAGTTTATGTCGCTGAAGCTGCAAATTTCTGCTACATGTAAATTCTGTGCTCAAGTCTCTTACCATTTTACTTACAATCTTCAAGTAACATGAAACTTTTGTTTCCATTAGGGAGTCTTCCTATTATACCATAAAATAATAAAGTGCCATGTCATTTAAACATTCTCACATCAGAAAGACCTGAAGGTCATGGTGGCCGACAGAGACAAGCCGAGGGGACTCCCAGCTCTCACACGCCTGGCCAGGAAGGGCTGAGGGCAAGGAACGCAGTGTCTTACTCTGTCACAACTATAGCTCTGCTTCCATAAAGGCCTTGTTCAGTCACTGCTCATTAAGCTAGGAGAAATATGGTGGAAGACTAAGCATTTCTCCTGGTGTAAAGAACCTTCTAAACTCCAGATAAGTGCTGATGCCAGTATATCACAGAGATTGTGCATCAAGCACAGCACTTCAATGGTGGGCACGGAATGCGTGAGTTAAGTAGGTGCTAGGTGTGCCTGAGGCCTCCGCAGGTCTAAGGGGTATGGCTGTTCAAGCTGGTACTTTGCTCTGACTCCCGAGCAGGGTCAGTGAGGGTGTCAAGAACGTCTTTTACCTGCCACAGCTAGGATTTTTCAAAGTGTCCTTCTCATACCCTTCATTCATTTCATCTATTTCCTGGGCTGATCAAATGAGTTCTTGGACATTCTCCATCAGTATAGGAGGAGATTCCACTTCCCACGCCCGGGGAGTGGAGAAGGAAGGGTTGGAAGATCAAGTCTCATCCACTTTTCTTTTAACCACTCCTGTACCTCACAACTTTGTGCTCCCAGGACACACAGCATCACCATGCCCTATTTCAGTTTATCCTGTGACTTGTAAAAATAATGGAACCAAACAATATTGAACTTGTCATTTTGACTAAAATGTAACCTTTCCATGTGTGGCTTAAATGATAAAAAGAAATTAATGAAACATGGGGCTGTGTAGGTGACATAGGTTTTGATTGCACTGATGAAATAATTCAAAAACTTTATTGACCTATAACCTGATTAGAATATGCCAGATGAGAATCAATATTGTACAGAAAGTTGTACAGAATTTTTTACATAGAAAACTTTACATCTGTACCATATACATTTTATCCATCTGAAAAATTTTCTACATCCACTGTTAATACGGAATGCTTGACAACCTTGTCTTTTTTTTTAACCATCAGAGCACAATTCACAGTATGAATACATTTCCAGTAAGTCTAACCACCCCAAACCATGCCAGATTGTTATTTAATATATTGAACATTAAATTCTGTACAGAGAGTAAAATCTACATCAAGCTCCACCCCCCACCCCCGAGGAATAAAGAAAAAGAGTTACAGCAACCTAGATTCATTTTGCAATGATTCAAGTTTCAGTCCATGAAAGATCATTATATTTAATGGCTCATCTTTAAAAGCCCTAAGAGAAGCATATTACAGGTAGTTAGGTCAGTAGTGATATTGTCTACCTTTGTTGTCCTGTTGTTGACCCTGACTAGTTGTCGGCTACAACAGCTTCTGGGTGTGTTACACCCTCAAAATTATCACTCCCCAAAAGGGCAAAACGATAAACTCCCATGAAATAAAAAAAGTTCAACCCAAATGTTTAGTGCATTTGACAAAATATTATGGGTATTTAGCAAAGGAATAAGAAAATAAAGAAATAAAATAAAATGGTGCAGGGCAAACTATGTTTTAAGATTTTTATATTACAGACCTGCATCTCTGTACATTTTTTCACAGAAGGATGATTACCAGTATCTCAGGTAGCCTGAGTGTGCAAAAATCTTCAGAATAAGATACCATAGTTGCTAAATA